TTTTTCAAAAAAGTCTTTTTAAAAATTGATCGACAATTATCGATAATTGAATCGAAATTATTTTATACGTATTTCGTGAATTATTTTGGCAGCGTTCAGCAAAAAAGCTTAAGCCAACGATCTCGTAGACAGTTCTGATAAATTACGACACATATATACAATTCTACTTCTGGATTCCATGTAAATACCGCTTTTGACATCCAATAGACGTATTGGAAATGTACCAAATAATTGTCTACTAATTAATATGTTATGTCGGTATACTTAGCATGCATATAGCGTGTACATCCAACATAATGTCTAAATAGAGGAAATTAATTTTTATTTCAAATAAGATGTTGATACTTGTATGAGTACCGTTAGTTATAGTGACCTTTGAAAAAAAGAATTTTTATTATTTAAATAAAATTTTAAACAATTTTTAATTAAAAATAAAACTCAACAACATGAAATTTACATTAAATAGTTTTATATTTATACATTTTTTTGTTTTTTTTAGTTTTTGATTATTTGTATTATGAGTAATGAACATAGTAATTGATTGGAAATATTATTCAAAGTACATTTAACGCATCGAAGCTGTGCTTACCGGTCTTAATACTAATACATTAAGGGGACTTAATCTATATAGTTCATATATTATGCAAACACGACACGCAGTACACGTGCATACACTGAAATCGTTAAAAAAACGATGTCAATGTGGACGCATTTAAGCGGATCATATACGTGTGTATTTCATGTTTACCGGATCGGCAGTATATCAAAGGAAAATCAAAATGACAACTTATTTAATTCATGAACAACAAAAAAATCAAATATACCAAATAATCTTTGTACAGTGATTGCGTGTGTGATATTCGCAAACGTCCCACACAATTCAAGCACGTATGTGGCGTTTCTTTTTTGCACACCTACCTTGTGGACATACCTTTTTACCTCTTAACTGATCAAAAAGACCCTTGCCATTTTGTTTTTCATTTATCTTCTATAAATCACGCTTTTTTCACTGTGCCCACCATTGTATTTTAGCCCATATCTTCAAAATACATGTTTTTCGTCATCGATACCAATAATATATTTTACTTATTATAAAAAATATGAATTTCGAATTCTATTTCGAGTCAATTATGACGTTACGTACGATTTTTTATCTTTTGTCATCATATAATTATTATATTGAAATAGATATTTCTAGGCTTTGCTACGAATTTGTTTTAGCTTAGAAGAAGATTGATGATAACGATATGAAATTGCCTTCAATTTTTTTTTTTTAATTTTTATTAATTTATTTATAAATATTGTTATATATTTATTGCTATTTATAGATACAGGCCACAATTCATCGGTCTGATTAGTGATTAATTGTGTTCATCTAGCGTGGAAAACGACAATAAACCACGTACTTTATTTTTTAAAAATGAGTGAATCAGGGATTGAAACGGAAATTAAAAATATCGGTATTTTAATCAGATCCTTTTTAAAATATTGGAATCGGAACCTTACCGAAACTGTATTTTGATTTTCTTAGGAACCTAAACGGGAACCGTAACCGATAATTGTCTGAATATAATTTTTCGGTTTTTTCAATTCCAGTTTTATTTTAATTTTATATATTTAGCTAATAAATAACATTCACTTCTTATTATTTATTAGCTAAATATATAAAATTAAAATTAAATTGGAACCGATAATAATCGAAAAAGACCGAAAATTTATATTCAGACAAATATCGGTTCCGTTTCTCGTTTAGGTTTCTAAGAAAATCAAAAAACGGTGATTCATAATTTATAAATAGTTTTGGACGACGACGTCTGGTAATGTTGTAGAATGACAACTAATTAAATAATTATTATAACAATCAAAATTCGTACTCGTATAATATATATGTAAATTGTCATCATGGACTAATAAAATTTATAAATATTCGTATAATACTATTGAATTATTTGATGGTTGTTATTCAGCAGTTCATGTCGCTAATGTGATGATCAAGTATTAAGGAATTTAGTACAGTTTAAATATTATTATAATATTAGTAAACTAAATACAATTATGAAAATATGCTTCAATTTATTTCTCGTGTATTTTGTGAAAAATTACAGTTTTTTGTCAGAATGCAAATCGAGGTAATCGTTGCAATGCATTGTTGGAATTAAAGTTGTCTGTGTGAAATATAAACATTTTTTTTTTCGTGATACCAAAATTTTCCATTGACATGCGAGTATGTGAGAGGTTCCACCTTACCGCTACCATTCATATAAAATATTACCGTTTCGTCGTGTCGTCGCTTGAAATAACTTATGACCTTTATTTTATTTTATTTTTTTGACTGTCTAAACTAAAATAAAAACCCTCGCATTGTATAAATCTGAAATATAATATGTTTATAAAAAAAAAAAAAAAAATTGTAAAACTTGAAAGTATTTATATAAATTTGTATTGTTAAAAAAAATTAAATAAAAATAAAATTTGAAATTTTATGAGTAATTTAAATATTGGATCATATAAGATCAGATGATACCAGTTACGTAAGTGCAAATAAGGATACCAATTAAAATTTAATATTGAGAACAATCATAGTATTGATCGTAATGATCATGGACCATATTTAAAACATTTTAATAACTAAACAATATCAATCTTACAATCAATCATTAATAATTACTTTTAGAGAAAATCTAAAACTTATTAGTTATTTTTATTAGTAATTATTAGTATTCCAATTACGATAACGTAATTTACTTTGTGTTTTTAAAAAATGTACAAATGAAAACGTATGAAAATTATGTATAATATAATATACTATTATATACAAGCTATGTGTATAATTAATTTTATAAATAAAACTAAATAAAAATGCATGTTACTAATCGAAATCAGATCTAAAATCAGTAGTCAACTGAAAAGAGTTCAACGTAAATTTTTGAAATTTGCCACTTTCGCATTACGCATTGAGTGTACTCCTCACGAGTATCATCTTGTGCTGCAGTGCCTCCATTTGTCTATCCTATGTGACAGGAGGAAACAGGCTAATCTTATGTTTCTTTCAAAACTTATAAATAGTGAAGTCGATTCCCCTGCTATCCTATATAAACTTAATTTCAGAGTTCCAAGTTTCTATTTCAGATACTTTTTCCCTTTCCAAATTCCTTTTAGCCGCTGTAACTATTTATAAAATCGTCCTATAGTCTGTATGATGTAACTGGCCAACGAGGACCCACTATTCTTTAGTACCTAGCATTAAATTATTATCTGTTCGTTCTTTATGTATTAAAATTTGTAATTTTAGTTATTTATGTAATTTTCTCTTAGTTATTATGTATTCTATACAATGTAATTCGGCACATCCCGTATTCATTAATAAATAAATAAAATAATATTTAAAATAAAATCATCATTGATTAATTTTCAGTATGTATAAGTGAAAAAATGTCGAAATATCTTATGACCTAACTATTTTCAATTCATTGATTAAAAATGTTCATATTTTACTATATAAAAATAATTTTTTTGAAAATAAAAACAATAATGTGCAAGTACATGATAACAATTGCCTTGATGGAAAGCGATGAATATTTATGACAATAAAATTATCATTGAGAGAAAAATATTTTTTCTTTAAAAGGACCCGTTCCTTTTTATTATTATTATTATTATCTCTTAACAGAACATTTTTAAACATTAAAATGTAATAAAAAAAAAATCTTGCTAAACAACTACCCGATAAATAATTCAGTAGACATAAAATTATATTAAGGAGAAGGTAAATTAAAATGAGTAAAATACAAAACTTAAAAAAGATTTAAATAATAAATTATATCAGAGCAATACATCAAAGTGTCTATTTCTTTCGTTAATTATTATGTAAATAGTATTTGAACGCAATTTCAGTTTTGGTTTTATAGTAGTATGAAATGTATATATACACTATATTTTAAAGCTGAAAGTAAATTTAATCATAATAATTCGCTAAAACTTGTCAAAATAAAAATCGTTGAGATTATTGAACTACGAAAATCGTGAATTATACACAAATAAGTTGCATAATATGCACGATTTTCGGTCGTATAATTATTTTGAAACAATTAATACAAGATATTTATCATTAAAAATATACATCACTAACCAAAGCAGAAAAATTACAGACAATAGTGCCAATTAATATTCAAAACAACGGAAAAAGTTTATGATTTTTTCCCGGTTTTTTTTCGCCTTCTCCCTATCGTTAATCTTTGGCTCCCAACCACGATTAAAAGAGAAGTTCGATTGTTCGTTGAAATTAAAATACCGCAATGCGAGGTTCTTATCTGGCAAATAATTTATGATGTTTATTTAAAACGATACAACAGCCAAGATGAATGTGAAAGCTTATACATTATGAGACGATGCACGAAAAATGTCAAGTCAAGCCGTCGAAAATCGGTGTATTTGTGTACGTTAAGCACACATGTATACATGTATGACCGGACTACGAGGACATAATCGGAGGTCAAAAGTCTTGTTTACATTTTGAAAACGGTTGACGTGGCCGCAAATCGTTACAACACATGCGTCGACTTTTGGTGGGACGAGAACATCGTAATTGTCTACTTCAGCCGCGTTTTACTTGTACAACATTTTTTTTTTTTACCAGCAGTAGCTGATATACTCGAATGTCTTTGACGATTTTGCTTCCGTAGGCATACTGGTTATCATTGATCATTGATCATCTATCTGCCTTGCTCACAATAAGCCTTTATTTTAATGTCCAGGTAGATAGTAAAAATGCCTACAGTTTTCAACTCTTTGTCTATTTGCTTTGATATTAAGTAAAATATCAGTTTTAGTTAATGTAGGTGTCTACAATATATTGTGACCGTATAACGGCGTGTTGGATACGTTAGATATGATATACTCTGATGCTGACCGACGGGCGGCGACTTTCGGTAATAATTGAGTAAGTAATTGAGTAAAGTATTCCTAAGTAAGTATACTCAAGTAAGAACTTATCTCATGGTTTCGTTGTATGAGAATATGTGGTAATTAGACTGTTATAACTAAATCACTGGTCGGAACAAAAAAAATACTCTGAGACACAACGGTAATCGATGCGTATAATTATCTAGAGGAGAGGTGTTTTAGTAAATTTTCGAATACAAAACCCAAATGCAACTGCTACTTGAACACTAGAATTCGTTTGTACCACCGCCATCCCAGGCAAATGTGTTTTTATTCATTTTTTCTTCTCGCGTAGGCGCACAGCGGTTAGTTTACTTTTTCTAATGGGTTTTCGACGCTCTGACTGCTGCGTGGCGTATAATAATTATCTTACGGAACCGAAAGGGCCACAGACAGGAGGTAAAAAACCTGCACGATTTATGATCCAGTACGATATGCGGTGTACCACATACTGCGCACTATATCAGTACTGCACATCAACGTAATCTATCGTCCGTTATTAATTCCTGGATCGTGGCACGGCGGCGTTAGCATCCACGTGTACTTGTCCATTCTTCTCATCTGAAAAACGTCGATTTCGTTAAGAGCAAGGCGCCAGTAAAATTAACAGTTTTCTTTTTTTCCTCCTCCTTTAACATACAAGAACCATTCAATATGTGTGTACTACCTATATCGTGGTATACGTTTCACGCCAAAAATATTATCGCTAAACATCTGTTAGAACCAACGTTATTAATTATTGTGTTGATTCGGGACGAACCGCGTTGCATTGCCGTGAGGCTCCGTGCATAACGCATCGTGTCGTGTCAGGAGAGGATGACGTTGTCAGGTTGTAACGGTGTTAAGCATTTTCTCACCCTAGTGCAGCTCGTATATGGTACGAGTAGCTTAGGGTGTGTGTATGTTTTTTTTTAGCTGGTCTTCATTGTCTCATTTGCTCAGTTTTCCATTTGTCGTTAGCAGATCCTTCCATTCTGCCCCCGCTGATCCCGCTAAACATGGAGTATAATGATAAATGATATTAAGTGTATAACGGATAAGGCAAAAGGAAAAAAGCCGAAAAAAAACCACCATCTAAATCTTTATACAGGGTTGTGTGTAATAAAAAAAGCCTGTCAACCTTTTTTTTCTTCTTAAAAGTTTTCGGTAAGAGAGGTAAGGAAAAAATTGCAAACGTTAATGAATTGACAAGTTGTTTCAGATTTCTAACGTATTATTAAAAATTATGTAAAAACAACGCAAACACTAATTGAACAACAACCCATCAATTACTAGGTATATGGTTGGGATGTAATTGTTCGTCCTAATATTAAAAATATTATTATACCACTAATTACACTAAATGTCGATGCATGGATTACCATACACGAATTAAACGATTTTATGAATAACACACAAATTACTTTAATTTATTTATTTTTATTAAGTATTGACACGAATAATATAAAAAAAAAAAAATTATTATGTTCTAAACACTTATTTAGCATAAATAACCGCATAACGTAAGAATAAAATTGCTTAATTATAAATAAAAATATTAATTTTGTATGATTACAACTAATAGAATTGAACTGATGTGTTGCCCTATAATATTAAGGTTATCGTTAGATATCGCACTTTATATATGCACGATTTTAAGTGTAAATATTAATCGCATTATATTGGGAATTAGCAATTTTGTGAACTACGAGTATACTAATAGCAATCAAAAATATACTCCAATTTTTTTTATCAAAACTTAAGTTTGAACTTATGAATTCATTAAAATGGTATTATTCGAACGAATTTGAGTAGATATTGATATTTATAGATCGGAGAAACAATAATAAGAATTGTATTTAATTTAGGAAATTCAATTTATTCATAACTTATGAACATATTCATAAGGTCAAAAATGTGTTTTTGTGTATGTTCTATAATTGCTTAGGTACAAAAGTTAAATTAAATAATAATTATAATAAAATACCTAGAGTACAATATTGAACCAAACTACAGTAAACTCGTTGGTTATCAGAAATGTGGTTAATCCATCAATTGAAACTTACTATTTTTATGTCAAACATTTTAAGTTCTCCAAAATCCGCCAATCTCGTCATGACATGTCATGACATTTAGTTACTTCGTCTCAACTGTCATCATTTTGTCGAAAATATTTGATTAAATTAAAATACGCTGTATGAATAAATATAAAAACATTACATTTAACGTAAAATTCATATTGAAATGGAAAATAGTATAGACATATTTTCAAATTAAGTGACTATTTAAAGAATTTGTTAATTAAACAAAAAAAAGTTTTAATAGTTTAAAATAAAAGTTCCATTATTTACGATTTGATAAGAAATAGCATTTTCATTTTTCTATCTATATTTTCGTTTGGTTTTTTCCCAATATTTTAATTTCTAAGTCAATATATATTTTTAAAGTAGTCAATTATATTTGAATATTATTTATTATTCATTTATAAATAATATATTATTATTTACAGTATAATAAAAATGGCTCTTTATATTTTCTTGAATGTATGCAATTTTGATCTATATTATTAAATTAACTAAGAATCAAATAACAAAATATATATTGTTTGTATAAAATATTAAAAAATATAAAATTAACTAATAAAAACACGACGATCATTTAGTTTCTATCAAATAATTAAATTAATAGATTTTAATATGATCTTTTATGATGGTCGTTTATTTTTTATTCAACAAGTGTACAAGTACATTATTTACCTCCAATAAAAATTGAATATAGTCTTATCAAACTCAATAATAATATAATATTATAATATATATAATAATATTCTGTCTTCTTAAATTGCTTATTTTTACTCATTATTTATTGTATGAAATTAAAACTAAATTTGTTTAATGACCATGCTTAAGTGTAATAGAATAAATTAATTTTAATTTGTTTTTAGTAATTTAATCATATTTTGTCAACATTGTATTTTTATTGTCATTACTCTTATAATTATTCCGAAAGAAAAGTAATTTAACGTTGAAAAAACCCCTGCTTCAAGTGGAATAATGAAACGTAATTTTTATGGACTCCCGACACGATTATGCTTATTATACAGTATTCTCCCTCCTCGTTTACAAGTGATGAATGTTTGAATATTTTTTAAACATTTAACTATCGATCTAATATTAAGTAAAGGTTATACTAGTACAATATTATTTTATTTAGGATGTAATATATAGAGATTTTATTGTATTGTACTTCTATTATATTATTAAAGAAATCGAAGTGTATTAAAATTAATAAAAACTTAATTTGAAAATATAGGTGTTTAGAATTTTCTTTTAATTATAATAATGATTTAAAGCAAAAAATAATAATTTTTAGTTACACGTTATAAATTATTGGATATCATAGAACTCTATGATAATGATAATGAAAATATATGGAAAGATGTACCTGTAAATTTATAATATAATATATAATATGTAATTGATATGATGAAATTATCTTTTTACTCAAATGTAACTTACAATTTGTTGTAGTACTCAACATAACGGACAATTAAAAAAATACCACCGAGTTTATATAGGTTTCTTCAAATACTGATATGACCGGTAATAAGAAAGCTGACCTATAATCAAATTAAGTAATGTTATCCCCAAATGAACTGAAGTAAAAATACTACCATAAGTTCATAGATATCAATAGAAAAATCGACTAATTCAACAATGTTAATTTCAATGGAATAACGTAAAATTATAAAAATACAGTTCATAAATTGTAATGATATGCACCTAAGCAATCATATATTTTTAAAATATAATATATAATAAAATAATTATAATAATCGATAGCCATTAAGTATAAGAAATAAGTATTAAGTCGTAAGTATTAAAGATAAAACATTACACACATACGTACGCACATATACATGCACGCGCGCGCGCGCGCACACACACACACACACACACACACAACATCATATATAAGGAGCATAATTTTTAGTCACAAGGACAGAGGCGTTCTTGTTGTCTTTTTATATAGACGGCCAAAGGCGAGTGTAAAAGACTACGCAGATCGGCTATGTAGAAAAACATAATTAGTTATAAAACGTTCTGTAAAAATTTAAAATACGTGTATTAATGTGTGTAAAAAGAAGTTCAATTAAAATTATTAAAAGTGAAGAAAAAGTTATTAATATTTTAAAGTACAAATTGGTTACCTTATCTTATTCCTCAAACGTCAACCATGGTTTTCAACAGGCAGGTCGACACAAACATCAGAGAGGTAATATTAAATATATATAATATAATAAGTAATGATTTAAAAAGATATATAAATATTTCCCACAGTAACTACGAGTCAATATATTTTAAATCATTACAAATGGTAATCTCATGCCAACATAACTCGAAAATTAGACACTATTACTATAAACATCACAATAGGTCATATATTTATTTATTTATTTATTTATTATTAACAATACGGGCTGAGCCCAATTTACATAATATGATAACACTGATAACACTAATTAAATTTTATATAAGATAACAACCATAAAAATAGTGACTATTACTAATATACTAATTTATAAACATGAAAACCAAAAAAAAAAAAAAAAATAAAAAATATAACAATGCTACAGAAATGATGGATCATTATTTGCCATACGCATCATTCTAAGAATTGGCTGGTTCTCAGAATAGTTGGTGTTGCATTTAGGAATAAAAAATGGATAGATTTGACGGACAGAAGAGCAAGGGACTTTAAAGTTAATCATGGAAAGTAGGACAGGAGAGTCAATACAGCCATCTATTATTAGGCGGAGAAATTTCATATTAGCAATTTTTCTTCTATCAACTAATGAAAATAAACCAAATTTAATTAAAATTGGGTTATAATCATGAGGTGGATGGTCTATCTTTAAAATAAATGCTGCATATTTGAGGAATTTACGTTGAACTCTTTTAATTTGATCCTTACCACAAGAAGTGGAAGGATCCCATACAACAGCACCATATTACAAAATTGACCTTACGTAGGCACAATATAAGATTTTTATGGGAGAAGTTAACTTAAACTCGTTACAGATTCTTTTTATAAAACCAAGCATTTTTAGGGCCTTGCAGCATATATTGTCCAAATGGGAATGGACATTTAACTCTCGGTCAAACGTGATACCAAGGTCCAAAACTTTATTTTCAGATCTCTTTAAAGGATTGGCATTGATAGAGTAAGAATACTCAAATCTATCACGAGTTTTGTAAAAGGACATTGAATGACATTTCACAAAATTGAGTTCAAGATGATGTTCATTTGACTAAGTAACTAAAGAGTTGATATCATTTTGTAGAAGATAACAGTCATTAAGAGAATCAATTTTTAAAAATAATTTTAGATCATCAGCAAATAGAAGAAAATGACAGTGACTAATAACTTTTTTAATATTGTTAACAAATATTGCAAATAGTAAAGGAGAGAGATGACCTCCTTGAGGGACTCCAGAAGTTGCATCAATAATAACAGACTTACTACCATGAACATCAACAATTTGCTTACGATCTCGAAGATACGACTGAAACCAAGACAAC